CTAACACTATCCAATTCTTATTCTAATCTTCTAATTCTCTTCTTATCTCATTTCCATTCCTCGTTGAGAGAAAACCTTTGTGCGTTTACCAATTTATCAATGGATTCGGAGCTCAAGTTTTCTCTTGATTTAGGACGATCGGAACCCCAGGAGATTCAGCGCTGAAGCTATCGAGTTACTCGGGCAGACAAATGCACTCGAGTTTTCGAGAATTTAGTCACATATTTCTAAAGATGGAGGATGTTTTGGTCGAGACCGAACGTTTTCAAACTTTTTCCCGTATATATACACACATCAATCAACTCAGAAAGAGACCAATATCGTGGAAAGTGCTGTACAAAAAAAACAAGATCAAGTGTGAGGCGTTTTAAAAACCGGGCCTCAAAAAACTGACTTCAAACATCGAATCCATGTGTGTGTCAATGGTGTTGTCGTTGAGTTTTGTTTCCTTTATTGTGACCTTTACTACCTCCTCCTCCTCCTCTGTACAACTTTGTGTGGCTGTTCTGTCCAAACGACGGGTTCTTGGCGCCTTTGGTTCCTGAAAGTGGGCTTGTTCCATACACTCGTTGTTGGTTTCTTGCACCATTGGATGATGATACTGAAGTGACTGCCCGTGGGCTGTTGTATGAACCGTTTCTTGCTATGACAGCTCGAGGACTTCCATAGAAAGGCTGCACGACCGGGATGGTGGCTCCGTTGATGAGTCCAGCTCGCGGGCTACCATAAGGACTCAATGTGTTGACCAACATTTCCTGGTTAATAAAATTTTTGTAATTAAAACATAGAGAGTGTTGCTTTTTATTAGCCAAACAAGTGACACTGAGATTAACCACATCATCATCTGAGTTAGATCTAACTTTAAAGAAATTGAAGAAGAGATAGAGCGTTTTGATACGTACTCTTTGAGGAGTCTGGTAAAAATTGGGACCCATATGGGAAGAGACCATCCGTGGAGAAGAGTTCTTAGCAGCTTGTGGATAAGAGACTCGGCGATGATTGCCTCCTGAGTCGATCCGTGAAGCTGGTTTGCCACCACCAACAAAACCATCGTGGCTTTTCCTAAGACTGACAAATGCAGGTGGTTCGTGTCCCATGAAGTAGTAAGAGCTGTGATGTTCTTCTCTACATAGAGTAGGAGTTGGAGCCCATTGTTGTCCTTTAGAAGAAGAGTCTTGATTATAGCTCTGGAAAGTGCAGGAGGATTTAGAATATGAATGTCCCACAAATGGGATGTTTGCAGGTATGAAACTCGGTGTCTGTTTCTGGTAAGGTAGCGCGGGATATGACACCCTACTCCAGTCTTCGATTGTAATTCCTTGTTTTGCAGCTAGGTCAAATACTTGTTTCTCCTCAACTCCTAAACCCATGAGCAAATTCCATAGGTTTCTCTGAGCTTCCCTTTGGTTGTAAATGATTTGGTCCCTCATTGCCATTTCAAACTGTAGTTCGGTATTGCCCATCCCCTAGATTTATAAAAAAAACAACAAAAGATGGAATTAGTAATGTAGGAACTTAACCAGGTTCCAGAAGATAAGATAGTGCTTTGTTTATTCTACTTACCAGGAGCTTATACTGATTGAGAATATGCAGATAAGTTTTGTTTCCGTTGTTATTTATTGCTTCATTGAGCATATCCTGTAGTTCGCAACGATGCTTTTCATTTTCTTCTATTTCCTGTAAAACAAAGACACAAGTATATGAGTAACGATGCCAACTATTAATTGCAGAGTTGAGATAAATGATTAAAACGGGATTACTTTCTGGTAGTTGACGCCAGCTTCATCATTGTCGCGGATATTATCAAGTATCACTTGTCGTCTGCTACTTAGAGCTTCGACAACATCTTTCTCTGTCGCCTATAAAACAGGGAAGAGGTTACAGTGCCGCAATATAATGACCCCTGGATTAGGAGAAGCTTTATCATCTAACCTGCTTTGCAATTGCATCATCGAGATGCTGAAGTTCGGTGCGATTTCTGAGGTTAGTTTCCTCAAGCTCAAATAATGCCTTCTGTAAGTTTATACGTTCCTGAACATTTTCGCTGATCTGGTGGCTTAAGCCATCCAACCATGAAAGTTCACGTTCAACACCTCTTTCAAAAGGTTTGATGCTTAGCTGCGACTCCTTTTCTGCTAGTTGCTTCTTCAGCTGAGAAACCTCACTCTATGAAACCAAAGCTCTGAGTTATGTACTGCTACTACATTCAATTTGTAACAATGCTACTACATTCCATTTGTAGAAAAAAGTAGATGAAAGCAATGAATTTACTTGAAGATTGTCGATCATTCGTTGGTAGTCTGACATGTGAGTATCGATGGTACCAATATTTTTCTGAAATGCATTAAAAGAGAATAGTAAGTACTTCTGGAGCAATTAACAATCCCCGTGGACTAGAAGTATTCAGAGGAAAATTATTGTCACCTGAATGTGTGTCTTAATCTCTTTCGCTCTGTCGGCATATTTCAGTGTATTCACAGTATGATGATACTGACTATCCGCAGGTGATATAGTCGCAACCATTACCGTCTGTGAGTTCCCACTCAGACCATCTTTGAGAATCCGCGTAAGTTTGCTGAAATTATACATATGTGTGAGCTAAAAAAAGATTGACCATTTTCAGAAAGAATGATCACATACCGATGACACATACCTGTTTCGGTATGGGACATAAGCAAGACCCTTTTTGTGTTGCTTCCCTAAAGCATTTATGCAATTTGCTAGTGCAAGAAGTGAGCGATTAATATTAGCTCCATCCCTCAATTTTTTACCCCCATTGTTCGTCTCAGCTGCTCTTTCACTGCCAGCAAGATCAACAAGGGCGAGTTTCCCTCTCATGACTTGGTTTTGATTCTTTTGCCTTCTTTTCACTGCAATCTCCAGAACTGCGTGGGACCTAGTAATTGACAAGCAAATTGATATAGATAATGAGCCACCGCTGCTTCAGTTTCAAGAAAAAATCAAAGGACGTTCCTATCTGATGCAGAGATTACTGTGAGATCTAGCGATTTGGAAAACAAAGGCCTCCAACAATATCAACTTGATTTCGGAGGTAGTATTCCTCACCTTGATGATGTTCCATTCATCTCTGTGCTCTCAGTTTTTCTTCTACTGTTCCCTAAGTTCAGCAGCTCAAGAATCCGATCAGCAGAATTCACCTACAAAAGAAATACTTTAAGTAAGTCCCCGAGATGCAAACCTCAAAAAGATGGTGGATTTTCAATGACACAAATCAAATGGTTTTCCTCAGTATTGGAGAAGATATTAGGAGCCAAGAAGAGAGATAACAATCTGGTTTTCCTCTTCATCAGCACAAATTTCAAATGGAAATACAGTACTTACATATCCAAAACTGGAAATCCGGGAAAGAAATTCAATGTAAACCATACAACATTAATTCTTCTAAAGGATTTCCATATCCAACAAAATTGCTAACAAATGTGACACACCAAGATGATATGTATGAAATGATATCATAATGTAAACCTTAAGATGATCTCTGCATTATCAGATTACGCAGAACAACGAATGGTCTTATCGCATCTAGAAGAATGAAGAGTATGGACCTTAATTGATCGCAGGCCTGCAACTACTATCCCCTGCTCTGGATCCTCTCTGAGCTCCAAATGACCAGAGGATCTTTCAAGCAGATCATAGATAACCTGAGTTACAATCGAAGAGGTTATTACAAGAGAAAGAGTAATACTCTAATGGTGAG